TAAAATGTCTACTCTACTCAAAGAGATCTACAGATTCAGTGGATCCCTATCAAAATATCAATGACATTTTTTTCACAGAAATAGAAAAAAAACCAATTGTAAAATTCATATGGATACACACACACACACACACACACACACACACAGACAGACACACACACACACACACACACACACATAACCAAAACAATATTAAGTAAAAAGAATAAAGCTGAGGGCATAATAATACCTGACTTCAAAATACTACATAGCTATAGTAACCAAATCAGCCTGGCACTGGCATAAAAACAGACGCAGCAATCAATGGAAAAGAATAGAGAGCACAGAAATAAATCCACGCACCCGCTGTCAACCGATTATTGACAAAGGTGCCAAGAACAAACAATGGAGAAAGAACGGTCTCTTCAATAAATTGTGTTGGAAAAACTGGATATCTACATGCAGAAAAATAAAATTAGAACCTTATCTTTACCATATACAAAAATGAAATCAAAATGAATTAAAGACTTACTTTTTTTTTTTTTTTTGAGTTGGAGTCTCACTGTGTCCCCCAGACTGGAGTGCAGTGGCCGCTCCCGGCCACCGCAGCCTCGACCTGCTGGGCGCCGGCGATCCTTCTGCCTCAGCCTTCCAAGTAGCCGGAATTACAGGCATGCACTACCACGCCTGGCTGATATTTTTGATTTATTGTTGAGATGAGGTCTCGCTGCCCAGGCAGGTCTCGAACCCTCGGGCTCAGGCAATCCACTCACCTCAGCCTCCCAAAGGCACGGGATTACAGCCTGAGCCACCGAGCCCAGTTAAGACCTATAACTATGAAACTTCCAGGGAAAATCACAGGGAAATATCTTCGTGATATAGGTCTGAGCAAAGACTTTTTGGATAAGATCCCAAACTCCAGGAAACAACAGTGAAAATAAACAAATAAGATGATATAAAACTAAAGAGCTTCTGCACAGCATAGGAGACAATCAATGGAGTGAAGAGACAACCAATAGAAGGGAAGAAAATATTTGCAAATCATACATTGGAAAAGATGCTAATATCCAAAAGATACAAGAAACTCAAACTACTCTTACCAAAATATGAATAGCCATATTTAAAAATGGGCAAAAGACTTGCATAGACATTTTCTCAAAAGAAGACATACAAATGTCAACAGATATACTGAAAAAATGTTCAATATCTCTAATCATCAGAGAAATGCAAATTTAAACCACAACAAAGTATCATCTTACACCTATTTAGATTGACTATTACCAAAAGGATAAAAGATAACAAGGACATGGAGAAAAGGAAATTCTTATACATTGTTAGTAGTGTTGTAAATCAGTATATTCATTTTGATTTTTGGTTTGTTTTATCTGGCCAAGATAGCATTTACCAGTATTCTCCAAAATAAAGTTATTTTTCTTTCCTATTTTTTGTCACTAAATGCTGGTCACACTCAAGGCTGGGGGTGTGACTTAAGCTTCAATTATTCTTTAAAACTTCCATTTTTCAACATACAAAAATTAGTAGCATTTATGTATGCCAACAACAAACAATCTGAAAAGGAAATCAAGAAGACAATCCCATTTACAATAGCCACAGAGAATAAAAAAATACCTAGGAATCAATGTAACCAAATGTGTGTAATATTTGTACAAGAAAAATGACAAAACACTGATAAAAGAAATTGAAGAGAACACACAAAAATGGAAAGATTTCCATGTTCATGGTTTGGAAGAATATTGTTAAAATGACAATACTATACAAGCAATTTACAGATTCAATGCAATCCTTGTCAAAATATCAATAACATTCTTCACAGAAATATTAAAAATAGATAATTTTGTATAGAACTGCAAAAGACCTTGAAAAGCCAGAACAAAACTGGAAGCATCACACTACATGACTTCAAAATATACTACAAAACGTTAGTAACCTAGTCAGCCTGTTACTGGTGTAAAAACAGACACACAGGCCAGATATAAATCCACATATTAACAGTCAGTTCATTTTTGAAGGTGCCAAGCACATACAATGGAAAAAGGACAATCCCTATATTAATGGTGCAAGGAAAATTGTATAACCATATGCAAAAGAACAAAACTAGACTCCTATCTCTTACCATACAAAGGGGACCCCCAAATAATGAAATTGTCTTTTAGAAAGTGGGCCCTATGCAGTACACTCAAAATTTGCTCCTCTAGATCAAACGGTCAACCAAGGTTTTTATCTGCAAGTTCTGAGAAGGTTGTGTCACGATTTGCAAAAGAAACATCCTGAGTTGTGTAAAACAGGAGACTAGTTCTTCCACCATGACAAGACACATGTCCACACTGCACTGTTTAGGAACCCCATGGCCCACCCTTCCTATTCACCCGATCTCGCCTGGAGCAACTTTTGTTTGTTTCTCCTGATGAAAAATCCTCAAAGAAAAAGTTTTACCCATGTGGAAGAGGGAAAACAAAAAACAGCAGAAACACTAAAAAGCATCAAAACTGATGAGATAAAAAAACCGTTTTGAGCTGGGCTCGGTGGCTCAGCCTGTAATCCCGCGCCTTTGGGAGGCTGAGGTGAGTGGATTGCCTGAGCCCACGGGTTCGAGACCCGCCTGGGCAACTTGGTGAGGCCTCATCTCTACAATAAATCAAAAAATCAGTTGGGCGTGGTAGCACATTCCTGTAATTCCGTCTACTCGGAAGGCTGAGGCGAAGGATCGCCGGCGCCCAGCAGGTCGAGGCTGAGGTGGCCGGGAGCGGCCATTGCACTCTAGTCTGGGTGACAGAGTGAGACTCCAACTCAAAAAAAACCAAAAACAAACAAAAAACCGTTTTGAGTATTTGAAAAAGCATTTCAATAGACGTATTGCATCACATAGAGGGTACTTTGAAGGTGACTGAAGTTTAAACATGAAAGAATACATAATATTTTATAAATAAATTCTGTTTTTTGGGGTCCCCCCCTTGTATACAAAAATAAAATAAAGTGGATTAGACGGAATCCTAAAACCTGAAACTATGAAACATTGTGGAAATGCTCTAGGACATTGGTCTGGGCAACATGCTTTGCAAATAGACCAACAGGATTACATTAAGCTAAAATACCTCTGCACAGCAAAGGAAACAATTAACAAGTGAAGAAACAACCTAAAGAATGGAAGAAAATGTTGACAAATTACTCATCTGACAAGCAATTAACAACCAGAATATATGAGGAGCTCACACAACTCAGCAGCAAAAAACAAACAAAAAATAATATGATTTTAAAATGGGCAAAAGACTTATAACTGGAAAACATATATATGAAAAAATGTTCAATATCACTAATCATCAGAGAAATGTAAATCAAAAAATCATAATGAGATATAATTTCACCTTAGTTAGAAAGACTTTTTTTTTTTTTTTTTTTTTTTTTT